TCACCCATACTTCACACTCATATAAGAGCGTTGGTAAAACTATACTCTAATACATTCCCCTCTTTGCCTCCAAGGACAAAGTTCTTTGTCTCCAGAGACTCCTAAGTGCACCACTCACCCTTTTCCCCTCATCAATTCTATGATTCACCTCATCTTTCATAGACCCATCCGCTGACACGTCCATTCCCAAATATCTGAATACATTCACCTCCTCCATACTCTCTCCCTCCAATCTGATATCCAATCTTTCATCACCTAATCTTTTTGTTATCCTCATAACCTTACTCTTTCCTGTATTCACTTTTAATTTTCTTCTTTTGCATACCCTACCAAATTCATCCACCAACCTCTGCAACTTCTCTTCAGAATCTCCCAAGAGCACAGTGTCATCAGCAAAGAGCAACTGTGACAACTCCCACTTTATGTGTGATTCTTTATCTTTTAACTCCATGCCTCTTGACAAGGCCCTCGCATTTACTTCTCTTACAACCCCATCTATAAATATATTAAACAATCACAGTGACATCACACATCCTTGTCTAAGGCCTACTTTTACTGGGAAATAATCTCCCTCTTTCCTACATACTCTAACTTGAGCCTCACTATCCTCATAAAAACTCTTCACTGCTTTCAGTAACCTACCTCCTACACCATACACCTGCAACATCTGCCACATTGCCCCCCTATCCACCCTGTCATACGCCTTTTCCAAATCCATAAATGCCACAAAAACCTCTTTAGCCTTATCTAAATACTGTTCACTTATATGTTTCACAGTAAACACCTGGTCCACACACCCCCTACCTTTCCTAAAGCCTCCTTGTTCATCCGTTATCCTATTCTCCGTCTTACTCTTAATTCTTTCAATAATAACTCTACCATACACTTTACAAGGGTATACTCAACAGACTTATCCCCCTATAATTTTTGCACTCTCTTTTGTCCCCTTTGCTTTTATACAAAGGAACTATGCATGCTCTCTGCCAATCCCTAGGTACCTTACCCTCTTCCATATATTTGTTAAATAATTGCACCAACCACTCCAAAACTATATCCTCACCTGCTTTTAACATTTCTATCTTTATCCCATCAATCCCGGCTGCCTTACCCCTTTTCATTTTACCTACTGCCTCACGAACTTCCCCCACACTCACAACTGGCTCTTCCTCACTCCTACAAGATGTTATTCCTCCTTGCCCTATACACGAAATCACAGCTTCCCTATCTTCATCAACATTTAACAATTCCTCAAAATATTCCTTCCATCTTCCCAATACCTCTAACTCTCCATTTAATAACTCTCCTCTCCTATTTTTAACTGACAAATCCATTTGTTCTCTAGGCTTCCTTAACTTGTTAATCTCACTCCAAAACTTTTTCTTATTTTCAACAAAATTTGTTGATAACATCTCACCCACTCTCTCATTTGCTCTCTTTTTACATTGCTTCACCACTCTCTTAACCTCTCTCTTTTTCTCCATACACTCTTCCCTCCTTGCATCACTTCTACTTTTTAAAAACTTCTCATATGCTAACATTTTCTCCCTTACTACTCTCTTTACATCATCTTTCCACCATTCGCTCCTCTTCCCTCCCGCACCCACTTTCCTGTAACCACAAACTTCTGCTGAACACTACATTTTTAAACCTACCCCATACCTCTTCGACCCCATTGCCTATGCTCCCATTAGCCCATTTATCCTCCAATAGCTGTTTATATCTTACCCTAACTGCCTCCTCTTTTAGTTTATAAACCTTCACCTCTCTCTTCCCTGGTGCTTCTATTCTCCTTGTATCCCATCTACCTTTTACTCTCAGTGTAGCTACAACTAAAAAGTGATCTGATATATCTGTGGCCCCTCTATAAACATGTACATCCTGAAGTCTACTCAACAGTCTTTTATCTACCAATACATAATCCAACAAACTACTGTCATTTCGCCCTACATCATATCTTGTATACTTATTTATCCTCTTTTTCTTAAAATATGTATTACCTATAACTAAACCCCTTTCTATACGAAGTTCAATCAAAGGGCTCCCATTATCATTTACACCTGGCACCCCAAACTTACCTACCACACCCTCTCTAAAAGTTTCTCCTACTTTAGCATTCAGGTCCCCTACCACAATTACTCTCTCACTTGGTTCAAAGGCTCCTATACATTCACTTAACATCTCCCAAAATCTCTCTCTCTCCTCTACATTCCTCTCTTCTCCAGGCGCATACACGCTTATTATGACCCACTTTTCGCATCCAACCTTTACTTTAATCCACATAATTCTTGAATTTACACACTCATATTCTCTTTTCTCCTTCCATAACTGATCCTTCAACATTACTGCTACCCCTTCCTTAGCTCTAACTCTCTCAGATACTCCAGATTTCCCTCCACCGAAACTCCCCAACCCCCTTCAGTTTTGTTTCGCTAAGGGCCAGGACATCCAACTTCTTTTCATTCATAACATCAGCAATCATCTGTTTCTTGTCATCCGCACTACATCCACACACATTCAAGCATCCCAGTTTTATTAAGTTTTTCTTCTTCTCTTTTTTAGTAAATGTAGATATTTTAAGTAATTCATAATTTACAGTGTCTGTTAGTATAGTTAGGTTTGGGTGAGAGAAGACATAAGTAGTGTCATCTGCAAATAAAATGGGTTTAAGGAGTTTAGATGTGTTTGGGAGATCACTGATGTAAATAAGAAAGAGAAGTGGGCCAAGGACACCTCCCTGTGGGACTCCAACAAGAACAGGTTGTGTAGTGGAGTTGGCACCATGTGTATACATACTGTTTTCTATTGCTAAAATAAGATTTTAAGTTATCGAGAGAGTGTCCTCTGACCCCGTAATGTTCAAGTTTTAGGTGCAATAGGTCACGGTCAACTGTATCAAAAGGGAATTTCATTTTTTCAAGTGCCGAATATATTAGTTCAAGTACATGTATAACTGCATCGTCAGTACTTTTTCAGTCTAAATCCAAACTGACAGAGGTTAAGTATTTTGTAAGATTCTAAGCAGGAGTAGATTTATTTGTGAATTAATTTTTCAAAGAATTTAGATAGTAGGGGCAAGTTTGATATAGGCCTATAGTTGCTCAGTTCAGTTGGATCACCTCCTTTGAGGATCGGGGTAACCCTTGCTGTCTTAAGAATGGACGGGAAGGTGAAAGTTTCAATGGATTTGTTAAAAAGAGCTGCAATAATTGGTGACAACACATGAGAAGCTTTTTTATATATGAGTGGTGATAAGTTATTTAGGTCTCCTATCTTGTTCTTTAGAGTTTTGATGATGTGCGAGATTTCAGTATGGTTGAAAGAGTGGAACACCAAGAGTTAAATCAGAGTGAATGGATAAGTGATGGAAACTGCTCATTTTAATTCATAGGAGTTGCAAATAAATAAAAACAGTACTGAGTGGGACCAAGAGTCAAGGGCAGACAATGGGTGGTGAATGAATTATGGGTAGAAAAAACAAAATAAGAAGCAATGCAGCTTGAGGGATGCATGAGTCAGTGTGTCAACCCTAATGTTAAGATGTGCATTAATGTTGTTATGTATGTTGTATGTGCATGTGCTGTGTATGTGCTTGTGTTGAATGTGCATGTGTTGTGCATGTTATGTTTGTGTTGTGTTTGTGCATGTTGTGCTATGTGTTGTTTGTCTTATGCTCTGTGTTGTGCTTGTGTGTGCATGTTGTCTGAGACTGGGCCACAGGAGTAATAATCCACAGAACAACTAACATATACCAGTTATAATCATGATGAAATTCCACCATGATTATGTTGTCTTTAATTACATCTTAACAACGGTCAAGCAGTCTAACAAATTACAACAAAGGTTTAACCATTAAGAACTCCCAGTGGAAATAAATCATACAGTTTGACTACTGGGTTATTCTAGACTGAATCTACATGAAGTATATACATATATGCTTACACATCTATATGTCTTCATTTAGGGAGTTACAAAATAAAACTTGTCCTAATCTCAGATACCCCTTGAGACTGGAAACTTGCAGAAAGAAAAAGGTGTCAAGAGAAAAGAAAATATAAAAGAATATAGCTAAGAGGTGATATGACTTCCAAAGGTTTTAAAAATGAAATTACATTGTATACAAATAAAAATCCACACATAGGAGACAAACTTATGACGATGTTTTGGTCTGACTTGGACCATTAACTAGTCGCAGTCGGATCAAGATGTCATCACAAATTTCTTTCTTCTATGTGCAGGTTATTTTTGTATTGTTACAGTCACAGTATTGCACCTTTTAATTCTTCATAAATACACTGTAATAGGAATCCTGAGCATGTACTGTACTATTTCTCACTTGCACAACTAACCCACAAATCAGATATAAAAAGTAGATAAACTCTCAGTCCTGCTAGGTAGTAGGCTGGAAGACAGCAACCACCCATGGAGGTACTACCGTCCTGCCAAGTGAGTGTGAAACTGAAACCTATAATGCTTTACATGATAGCAGGATTGCTGGTGTCATTTTTCTGTCTCATAAACATGCGGGATAACAGGTATATCTTGCTACTTTTACTTACACTTAGGTCACACTACACATGCATGCACATGCATATATATGCACACCCATCTGGGTTTTCTTCTATTTTCTTAATAGTTCTTGTTCTTCTATATTTCCTCTTATCTCCATGGGGAAGTGGAACAGAATTCTTCCTCTTTAAGCCATGTGTGATAAAAGAGGCAACTAAAATGCTGGGAGCAATTTGCCAGTAACCTCTTCTCTTGTACAAATTACTAAATTGGTTCATCACCACTTACAGTTTGCTATCAATCTAGGATGGACCAACACACTGTTCTATTTTCACAGTTTGTGAATTAGTTGTGAAATGTTCCTTTCATAATATGAATTATATTTTTCATAAGTACCCTCTGACTAAAAAAGTACACTAACTGCTATGCTGTACTTTGGCATAATGAAAATATCAATTATTTGATAAAAATAAATTACAAGGATAGCTACTCACATAGAGACACAGGGTCCAACAATGAGCTGCACAATGCGAATAGTTATGCTAATTATCCTCTGTATGTGAGATTCTTCTTGATGACCAACTCCAACAAACAAATACCCAGCATACTGAAACAAACAAATGTTTGAAATACATAAACATTGGTTATGCTTTCTGTAAACAAACACACTGAACATTATTAAATCAAAGGCAATGTTCATGTGCAAGAGTTGAAATACAGATTAAGTAAAGATGATAAATGTACTTTGATAAACATACAGAATATGATAAATATACAGTGCTCCCAACAAATTTGTGGCACTTTAAATTCTCTCATTTTTATTCTTCAGTTTCAACTGAAGGATCTCCCCCAAACAAATTTGAAAATGGGTACATGTATTTGCAAATTTTTTGTGATGCTTAATTTTATTTTTTTAAGGGGGACGTGCACAACTAAAAGTCACCTAATGTAGAAAAGTGTACCTACTTAATACAAATAAAACTCACTCATACTACTGTGCATACTAAATTTACAAGACAATCAATTCTAATATCAATCCTACCATGAAACTCTTGACAGACAGCTGTATAATACCACACTGGGTGTTTCCCACCAAGGCAGAGTGACCCAAAAGAGAAGAAATACTTATTCTGTATCATCATTCACTCTATCACTGTCTTGCCAGAGGCATGCCTATACTACAGTTAAAAAACTGCAACATATCAACACCCTCCTTCAGAGTGCAGGCACTGTACTTCCCACCTCCAGGTCTTAAGTCACAATTTTTTTTTTTTTTTTAACAAGTCAGCCGTCTCCCACCGAGGCAGGGTGGCCCAAAAAGAAAGAAAATCCCCAATAAGAAAATACTTTCATCATCATTCAACACTTTCACCACACTCATACATAATCACTGTTTTCGCAGAGGTGCTCAGAATACAACGGTTTAGAAGCATATACGTATAAAGACACACAACATATCCCTCCAAACTGCCAATATCCCAAACCCCTCCTTTAACCCTTATACTGTCCAAACAGATCTACGTTCACATGCGTAGTGCTCCAAAAGTAGATCTACGTTTTTTTACATATTTTCAAATACAGTACATGTATAACAAAAAAAAATGTAGATCAAAGTTTTTTTACACATTTTCAAATGTAAAAAAAAAAAGAAGGTCTACGTTTTTTTACATACTTTCAAATGTTGAAAAAACGTAGATCTACATTTGGACAGTTTAACCCATAAACGGTCCAAGCAGATCTACGTTCACATGTGTAGTGTTCCAAAAGTAGATCTACGTTTTTTTTTTACACATTTTCAAATATAACAAAAAAAAAAGTAGATCAAAGCTTTTTTTACACATTTTCAAATGTAAAAAAAAAAAAGATCTACTTTTTTTTTACATACTTTCAAATGTTGAAAAAACGTATATATACGTTTGGACCGTTTACGGGTTAAGGGTTAAAGTGCAGGCATTGTACTTCCCATTTCCAGGACTCAAGTCTGGCTATATAAAAATAACTGCGTTCCCTGAATCCCTTCACTAAATGTTACCCTGCTCACACTCCAACAGCTCGACAGGTCCCAAATACCATTCGTCTCCATTCACTCCTATCTAACACGCTCACGCACGCTTGCTGGAAGTCCGAGCCCCTCGCCCACAAAACCTCCTTTACCCCCTCCCTCCAACCTTTTCGAGGATGACCCCTACCCTGCTTTCCTTCCCCTACAGATTTATAAGCTCTCCATGTCATTCTACTTTGATCCATTCTCTCTTAATGACCAAACCACCTCAACAACCCCTCTTCAGCCCTCAGACTAATACTTTTATTAACTCCACACCTTCTCCTAATTTCCACACTCCGAATTTTCTGCATAATATTTACACCACACATTGCCCTTAGACAGAACATATCCACTGCCTCCATTGCTGCACCATTTACAACCCAAGCTTCACACCCATATAAGAGTGTTGGTACTACTATACTTTCATACATTCCCTTCTTTGCCTCCATATTTAACGTTTTTTGTCTCCACATATACCTCAATGCACCACTCGCCTTTTTTCCTTCATCAGTTCTATGATTAACCTCATCCTTCATAAATCCATCTGCTGACATGTCAACTCCCAAACAGTATCTGAAAATATTCACTTCTTCCATACTCCTCCTCCCCAATTTGATATCCAATTTTACTTCATCTAAATCCTTAGATACCCTCATCACCTTACTCTTTTCTATGTTCACTTTCAGCTTTCTACCTTTACACACACTCCCACCCGTCAACTAACCTTAGAAATTTTTCTTTAGAATCTCCCGTAAGTGCAGTATCATCAGCAAAAAGTAACTGTGTCAATTCCCATTTTGTATTTGATTCCCTGTAATTTAATCCCACCCCTCTCCCAAACACCCTAGCATTTACTTCATTTACAACTCCATCTATAAATATATTAAACAACCATGGTGACATTACACATCCCTGTTTAAGACTACTTATACCGGCAAGTAGTCTCCCTCTCTTCTACACACCCTAACCTGAGCCTCACTATCCTCATAAAAACTCTTTACAGCATTTAGTAACTTACCACCTATTCCATATACGTACAGTGGAACCTCTACTTGCGAGTTTAATCCATTTCATGACCTTGCTCACAACTGGATTTGCTCGTTTGCAGAGTCAATTTTCCTCATTTAAATTAACTGAAATGCAATTAATCTGTTCCAGTGAAATTCTGTACTTCAACAATTTCACTAATATCAACTGTACGGCTTATTTATCTATCTCACTTCATCTAATATGACATAATAAGCAATATAAATAACATAGAAACCTGATATTATTATTATTGTATTATTATTATACATATTATTATTATTATTATTATTATTATTATTATTATTATTATTATTAATAATAATAATAATAATAATAATAATAATAATAATATAAGATTTACTTGGCTGGTCTGAACCCTTGACCGGTTTCAAACGGATTCGTTGGACAAAGCAGACTGTAAACAGACGGGGTTTTGGGCGCCCTTATCAAATACAAACAATAAATATAAAACAGGAACGTACACCGGTAAGCTGTCTTAATATACAAGTACAGTTAGAAATAGAAATACAAATAGCAAGAGCTTCACTTTAAGGAGGTTATTAGTAGAATATTCAAGAGGTTACTAGTAGAATTACAGTAAATCAACCATTCAAATCACATTATGAAGCACTGTGTAGTCTGCAGTCAATCACACAAACGGGCTTCCACATGGATAAATTGCCATTTTTGTGGAAATTGGCATCACGCCCCTTGTGCAGATATCCAAGAACTATCTACAAGCAGTATTAAATCAGGGAAGTGTTTTTGGGTATGCCCAAATGAGAGCAATCTGTGGACTAAAATCACACTGGTAATAAAAGAGGATAACATCAAAGCAGCCTTCACAGAAAACCTGGAAGCATTCTATAACGGATGGGAAAATAAAAAGTCTCGGCAGGATGGTATCGCCCTTGGTGCTGGCCATGTAGTCAGAAACTGTAAGGCTGGAGGTGCTGCCCCAGTAGTCAGTAAATGTGGGGCTGATAATGCTGTCCTGGTAGACAGTAATGGTGAAGCTGGAGGTGCTGTCCTGGTAGACAGTAATGGTGAAACTGGAGGTGCTGTCCTGGGAGACAGTAATAGTGAGGATGGAGGTGCTGTTCAGGTAGTCAGTAAATGTATGCATGAAGGAATGCATATAAATGACCTCGAGGGAGACAGGAGCTGTAGTGGGGAAACAAGTGTAGTCAAGGACAAGATAAAACCAATATTACAAACTAGTAATACCACAGGAGATAGCAAACAAGGGGACTCCACTAGCAATAGTGAGGATATATTACCAAAAACAAATGGTGAGAGCCCCATTGTTAGTGCTAGTGAGGATAGGAAAGACAGGTAAACATGCACCAACAGGGAATACAGTCACAGAAACCCAAAGCAAACGGAAACCAGACCTGTGCACATACTATGCACTTGGTATCTGTAGGCATGGGAAATCTGGAAAAAACAGATGAGACATGCAACTTTGACCACCCTAGAAAATGCCATGCCCACATGACAACAGGAAAATGCAAACTCCCTTCCTGTAAGCTTTTTCACCCTGAAATGTGTCCCTCTTCAGTACAGGAAAGACTGTACTATAACTTAAATTGCCAGGCACACCATCTAAAGGGGACAAAAAGATACAAAACATCTAGACCATGGGAAAACCTGGGTAGCCACAGCCACTCAAGAGGGAGAGGTTTTTTAGTGCCAGGAAGGAAAAAAAACTGGCAGGAAATGGCAGAAATCGTACACCAAATCCAGTCATTCCTGGAGTGGAACCACAGTCGATGGCCTCCACTCCAAACCAACAGATATGGATACAAATGCCGGAAAAAAAAAGTCCCCCCCAGTACCACCAATACCACCAGTCTGATGACATTCTTCTTTGCAAATATACAGGGTCTACAGCCAGCAACGAACAACAAAATACCTTTCATCCATGGACTGCTTGCAGAGGCAAATGCAATGTTCGTGGCTTTCACAGAGACCCACATAAAGGATCACTTGGACAACGAAATATGGATCCCGGGTTACAACCTATACAGATGCGACAGAGCGAACAGGCAAAAGGGGGGGGGGTTGGCCTGTATATCGCAGAGTCACTTGTTTGCACAGAACTGCTTAATGCCTCAAATGATGTAGTGGAAGTTTTAGCAGTAAAGATCGAGAACCAAAACCTAGTCATTGTGGTAGTCTACAAGCCTCCGGATGCTACGTCCCAGCAATTCCAGGAACAGCTGTTAAAAATTGACCACTGTCTGGAAAATCTGCCAGCTCCTGCCCCCAACATCTTGCTCCTGGGGGATTTCAACTTAAGGCACCTAAAATGGAGGAATATAGCAAATAATGTTGTTGCAGTGATAACACCAGGAGGCAGCTCGGACAAAAACTCACACACACACGAGCTTTTAAATCTCTGCACAAAATTCAACTTAAACCAGCAAATAATAGAGCCTACTAGACTGGAAAATACACTAGACCTCATCTTCACTAACAATGATGATCTGATACGAAATGTCACCATATCAAAAACAATATACTCAGATCACAATATAATCGAGGTTCAGACATGTATGCGCGGAGCCCCAGACCGACAAAATGAGATTAGTCACGAGGGAGCCTTCACCAAATTCAACTTCAATAACAAGAA